CTGTTCCTCATGGAGTCAGTGCCACTGGCCAAACCCCCAAACTCCCAGTTCTGTCCTGCTTCCAGCAAACTCAGATGATGAAAGACCCAGACTATAAAAATATATGTTAGCCAGGAAGACAGACGATCTTTTTTTTTTTGGTTGTTGTTGGGTTTTTTAATTTCATTTTTTTAATTTTATTATTTTTGTGTGAGTGTACTGTCAAATCAGATCTGACTGGTACAGGAGGAGATTGTCCCTCCTTCCCCGGCAGAGCATCTGGTGGATTCGAACCGTGCGCCTCTGGGATTGTAGTTGCAGCTCCTTACCACTAGGCCACGAGAGCTCCCCCTCATTTTTTTTTAAAAAAGAAAAAACAACAACAAAGAACAGTGTTCTCTGCTTTACAAGAAGATTCATCACATGCCTTTTTAAAATAGAAAACAACTTAGGATATCTAAAAAGAGGATGTGCTTTGTCTCAAAAAGCTGAATTTACACAAATTTTTTACACAATATGCTATAAAATAAAATGAAGTCCACCCATATTTTTATTGGCACTATGAATGGCAACAGGTCAGGCCTGGCAGTGGTGTTTCTCAGGGACCATTAGGAGACACCGCCCCCTTCCTAAACACCAGCTGGCAGGCCTATAATAGCACTCTCCACCTCCTTAAAATAAAAATCAACTACTCAACTCTCTAGTTAATTGTGCCAATATCAATTTCCTGGTTTTGATAATGTACTATTGTTGCATAAGATAACTACGAATGATGGGTCTCATGCTTAATGGCCATGCGATGGTGGAAACTGTTCTGACTTCAGCTGGGGATGAAGGCACTTACCCTGCAGTAGGTGGGTGGCACCGAAGGGGAGGTAGGTAGACTGTCTCATATTTTTGCACCTTTCCATTTGAATCTAATTATTTGCAATTAAAAAGTGTAATCAATCTTGTTTGATCTAGAATTAAATGAAGGCAGCATTCTACCAGCCCTGGGACTATCCAATACGTAAACACATTAAGACAATAATGAACTAAATGGTTTGACAGCAAAAATAAAAATTGGTTTCTCAGCACGAACGGCCTGAGTCACATGAAGTGAGAGAGGCCTGAGGGTCTCCTGTGTTCCCATGCGGTTCAGGTCATTCTCCCACCCTAAACAGCATACTCTCAAAGTACAGGACAATAATGACAGTTAGCAGGACCTGGGGCTGCTTGGCCCTCAGCCTCAACTCCCGGGATCCAAGGCAATGCGGAAGGAGGGGCAATGGCAGTCTAACTGAGGGTGGCCCTGGCAAGGCTCCCTGCACACAGGACACAGTGGGAGGAATCTCAGCCCTGCCAGTTAGTGGCTATGTGATAGTGGAACGTGATTTGGCCACTCTTTAGACGGGGATGATACCACCCACCCTGTATCGTGATGGCAAGACACAACGGGGAGGGGTGGAGATTGCCTAGTGCAAAGCTTGATGTTGAAAGAGGTGGACTAAAGGCAAAAGTATTTACATACAACAAGAAAAGGCCCAATTCATGATTGCTCACTATGTCTTCTCAAATTACCTACTATGTGTCCAGGCCCACAACACAAACGGGACAGATGAGGGTAGCATTATCTCAGAAGAAGGTTTCAGTTAGCAAGAAAGACAGATGTGCCTCCTTCATTTTCACATGATGTGAAATTTGGAGGCCCAGGCCTGGAAAGAGTTCCGCTTCTTCTCTCTGCTTCCTTCTATTCCCAGGGCATCCAGGTCCTGGTGTAACAATCCAACTCTTTATGACCAAGAAAGTAATAGGGTTCTCTCTCAGGATACCCTGCTGGAAAACTGCCTGTCCCACCTGGAGCCTCTAACTCCTCACTGCCTTTCCCATGAGCTCTGCAGGCTTCACAAGGCTGATGGCCTCAGGAACGGTGGGCACCTGTGGGACCCGGGAAACAGGTGCTAGTCCAGGTGAAAACACCCAGTGACCCTCAGCAAGGGCAGTTCCTCTACGAACCTTCAAACAGGATTTGCTCTGATGCACAGCATGTCAGACCTCAGCCTCCTTGGCGACCCCCAGGCCTAGTAGCTGTATTGGCTCCTCCTTCTACCACCTTGTTGGCCTTGCCCACAGAATCCTCCCTCCAGAGAGTGCACGCTACTGCAGAATACCCTGGCTCTCCCTAAGAGTCAACAGCCACCACCTGGGGTGGACCTCTTCCGGGAGGGAGCTTCAGACTCTGGTCCCAAGAGATCCTGGCCCTCACACCATTTTTCAAACCCACAGGGTGACCCTGAGCTTGGGGTCACTCACCACTCAGACTTATCAAAAACATACATCCCAAGATCCCAAGATTTATGGCTCATGTGCAGGATTTGTTGTCAAATGATTCAAATGAATCCTAACCTTGGGTACCTTCTCTCCTCCCAGTTCCTCTGCTCTCTCTAGCACCTCCACACAACCGGCCAAACTTCTATGAACCCTCAACCAGGAACCTGCGGCCAGCTGGGTGAAGGACCATTCTCCTGTCTCTCTCACTTGGCTGAGAGTTCCTTAGGTGAACGAAACAAACCCAGTTCTTCCCCGGCTTACCACATCATCCCAGGCCTCACCTGTGGGGATGTATTCCTGGCCTGGCACAGGTCAAGCTGCTCACAGATGCCTACTGATTGGCTGATAACAAGGTGCTCTTTTTCTGGGGTGCAGCACAATAGTGGGAGAAGGAAGCTATTGTTTTTGAGCAAACATGCAGCCCTCATACCCCCCTGGGCCAGGCCAACTGCTGGCAACAGGACACCTTGGGCCTCATGTTAGCTCTGGGATACTTCATCTTAAAGCATCTCAGCTGGGCTCCAAGGCCTCTGATGGGCAAAGCAGAAGACTGTATTAGAGCAGCAACTAAGGACATTATGAACATCTAAAGATGCAGGACGTTGCGAATTCCCTCAAGACTCAGTTGCAAAGCCAAGCAAGGCACTTAGGTCATCCTACATCCATGCCAACCTTGACAAAGAACGGCAATTTTCTGCCCCCTTGGAAGTAAGCTTAAGGATGAGCTTCTTCAAGCAATTTACAGACTAGCTCTGGTCTTCTCCAAACCATTGGGTCTGGAAGTTAGTTCTAACATTACTTATATTACGTTAGTTCTAACTTTAGCATAAACTCAGAGGACAGGCAACAACTGAAATTCTTGCCTTTTACTGTTTTTAAGAGGAGGGGATGTGTAGAGGGCACCTTTCAGAGAAGAACCATGAAGAATATGGACCTAGATTTGTTTTCAAGTCAATTAACATGCATGGGCGTTGGCCAAGAGCATGCCAACAGCTAATGGGATGTTGACTGGCTTCTTGTGAAGGTCCCATTAGTTGGTCTTGTTTTGGAGGTTGGTCCATGGAAGTCCAGGGCCCAACAGTCATCAGGATAAAGTAGGTTCAGAAAGCCGAAACTCGCTAAGGAAGGGCACTTCCCTAGGGAGTCAGCCCATCCCATCCATCAGTTTAGGGAGAGACAGGGGACGCAGACAGCCAGAAGGCAGGAAGGACACGTTGTTTAGGAGATCTGGAGTCATGCTCCAGATTTGCCAATCTTAAACTGTGTGACCATGGGTGAGTACTTAACCTCTCTGATCGCCAACATCTTTGTCAATCAGAAATCATAATGCATGTGCCCAGTACTGACCTCGTCTGCCCCTTACCCCACCACTCCCCACTGCTTTTGCACCCCTATCCTTCCCATACACATACACCATTTTTATTTTGGGGGGCCATTACCCCACATCCTTTATTGCTGCCAAAACCATATGGGCAGGGGGCAGGACTGGATGGACAGATACCGCCCCCTACCCATACCCCTCCTGTGTGTGGTTCGAAACTTTTTGTTTTTTGGTTTTTTTTTTTCTGAATAAAAAAAGATTCTACTAAAAAAAAAAAAGAAATCATAATGCATACTTCCGTATGAAAGTTTGTCTATGACGGCGAAAAAGCACCTTGTAAATGACAACTCTCAAATGTAAGATATCACTGTAACAGTATGCTATGGTGTTCCTGAGAAGTGTGCCTTTAGATGGCACTATATAATCGATAGCTTTAAAGTTGTTCCGAATGGTAGAGTGCTTAATGGTCAGATGGAGCTGGGTTCAGATCCAACCAGCAGCATCACGTAAACTCTGAGCCTTGGTTACGTCATTGGTATAATGGTGACATGAGAATAGGAGGAGATTAGCCACAGGGGGTGTGTTCAGTTAAAGCTAACTAAGATCAGGAACTGGGATGGTGCTATCGTCAGGCACTCAGCTGTTAACCGAAAGGTCAGTGGTTGGAATTTGCCAGCCACTCTGCAGGTGAAAAGACCTGGAGAACTGCTTTTATAAAGATTACGTCTAGGAGAGTCCACGAGACATTCCTGCTGTAAAGGGTTGCGAAGCATCAGAATCACTATAAAGGGTCACTATAAAGGGCCGCTGTGCATCAGAACCACTATAAAGGGATGCTATACATCAAAATCACTATAAAGGGCCGCTATACATCAAAATCACTTGATGTGATCACTCAGCGTGATGAGACAGGAGACAGTGGATACAGCCTAGTCTTGCTCTCTAGTGGTTTGGTTCTTCATCTTCCTATAGGAGAACTTGACCTGTGAGCATCTTCTAAAAGGGAAAGCACATTCAGGGAGCCTGAAAAAAAAAAACTCCCCCTAAAAGTGGCATGACCAAGGCCCAGCAGACATAAATGTGGAAAGGCGTGAAAAGCCACTTTGTGCACAGTGGCCCCCAAACCTGGGGACTTTTAAATCCCCCTAGGGCACCTATAGGGAGCCCTGCTGGCCTGGTGGGAAGAAGCTACACCACAATTCAGAAGACAAGCAGCTGGAATCACCCAGCTGCTTCACGGGAAAAAGATGGGCAATCTCCTCCTCTGTGGTAAACTGCCTTTGAAAACCTACTGGAGGGTTGCTTCCAACTTGATGGTACACAGCAATGACAACAGGGAACTTGTACGATGCAGAGTCCTGTTTCTAAGGATGCTCCCCCTGTGGCTCACCTGGGAGGAAGGGGATGATCCTCTGCTTGGGGTCCTTCTGACCACCTTCGATGGGAAACTTATCCAGAAGCTGCATCTGAGAAGCCAAACAGAAGGAGAGAGTTCAGAGATTAAAGCCCTCAGCGGTCCTGCCCCTCACGGGCACTGCCCAGGCCCCCCTGTCATCACATGGGTGAGTGATGCCTCAAATCCTTCACTTCACAGACGATTAGAGAGCCCTGGTAGGTCTGGGAGGAAGGCCGGCGGCTCTCTGTGATCAAAGGGGCGTCTGGACCCTCTGCAGAGGGGTGGGGGCTGGAGGTGTCTGGAGATGCCCTATGCAAGGCTGGGGGAGCACCTAGCAGGCGTTCAGACCAGGCTGCAGGTGGGCTTTGAGAGGCTTCTTTGGGGCTCCTTTCTTTCATACTTCATCAGCTGGGGTGAGCCCTGAAGCTCTCCCACCCTTCTTCTGAGCTCTCCTGGGACAGGACAGGGAAGGCCCATACTTCACACAGACCACCCACCTTCCACAACTGCTCTGTGGAAATAGACCCAGATGTTATTTTAATCACAAAGCCAAAGCCATCCCATTGCCCCCACTGCTGGAAGACCCCTCCTCCGTTTCCTATATCCCCATCCGGGGAACGCTGCTGGTGTCTGGAGCACGCCCACTGGAAGGGTTTCCAGGAGTCTGGAGGAACAACTGGTTTTCCTCCCGCTATTCTGGGATGAAATGCTGTATCAAATGGAAAAACACACAGGAGGCAGGATGGATGAGCGTGGGCCACCACGTGGGTGGCTGGTCTCCCTTTCAGGGTGCAGGTAGGAGGCTGGGGCAGGAGTGGGGAGAAGCCACTACTGCAGCTGAATTGATTCTGACTTACAGTGACCCTCAAGGGCAGCACAGAACTGCCTCTTGGGTCTCCTCCTGCTGCCATGGACAAGGCACTCCAGGGCTGGGTGGGCCCACTGGAGAAATAAGGAGAATCAGCACCATGACGGAGGACGTCCATCCATTCATTGATGTATTTCTTGAGCATCTATGCAGGCACAACTCTGGAGGCAGAGTGTGTTACACGTGATGTTAACCAACGGAGGGTCACTATGTTTGCACTGATTCAACAGCAGTGGATTTGGTTCTGGGAGTTTTACTCAGAGCTCTGAGTGCTAAGAATATGGCAGCTATGAAAATAATCGAAGCCCTTGCCCTCACTGGGTGCTATGCGCATGGATGGAGATAAGAGATAAATAGTAAACAAATACATATGCAATAGGCCAGAGGGAGAAAGTGTTGTGAAGAAAATTAAAAAGGTGGTATAAGTAGTTGTGTACTATCATGTCAGATTTGACCCACAGCTGACCCTCCAGCAGGTTTTCAGCGGCAGTTAGTCACACGGGAGGAGACTGCCTATCTTTCTCCCACACAGCAGCTGGTGGATTCAAATCATGTGCCTTCAGGATTACAGCACTGCTTCTTGCCACTAGGCCACCAGAGCTGGGGTTATTTCACAGGGCTGTGAGGATGGGCTTACCAGTGTTGAACTGAGACCTATAGAAAGTGAGGAAACAAGGTCTTTGGAAATTGAAGAGGGAGAATGTTCCAGGCAGAGGGAACAGGAAGTGCAATGAGCTTGGGAAGGCCAGGTACGACTGAAGTGGAATTAGCAAGGCGTATAGGGAACAAATAGGGAGATCCAAGAAGCAGGGCAGGCCAGGTTATGGAAGGTCTTGAACTGAGAAGGGAAGCCCTGGAAGCTTCAGTGCAAAAGAAAGAGATTAATCGATTTACATTTGAAAGTATGGTTCTAGCTCCATTTAAAAGAATGGATCAAAGAGTGGGAGCAGAGAGACCCAGTGATAGCCTAACTATGGTCACCTCGGCTAGGTTGTTAGTATTGGAGCCATGTCTCTATGTGTGTGCATTTAACTTCATCCATCCATTCATCCATCCCTCCATCCCTCCATTCATCCATTCCTCCATCCATCCATCCAACCCTCCATCCATCCATCCATACATCCATCCATCCATCGATTCATCCACAATTATAGGATTCTCGCATATAGTCATTACCTACTATGCACAGGCTACTTGGAATGCAGATGAAAGGCGGGCCAACAGCAGATTCACTAAAAACAAGACAGAGACTGCACCATAATTAACTTTCACTTCCCTGAATACAGACTGGTATTTAACAAAAGCCGGCTCATGAGTTTCCAAACCCCAATGTTGTAAATCCATCTCTCAAACAGTTAATAATTGCCTGGCAGGTGTAAATATAACCACTGGGCTGTGAGACTATAAACTTGTACTTAGGATTTTAAAAACAAATTTTAATGAAGTACTAGGGAAGGGGAGAGCTCTAATTTTCTTTTTCCCTCAGCCAGGTTTCTAATTTTGTAAAATTCATTTCTGTATTACATAAGTCATTCGTGTTCACCGGAGAAGTTTGTGAACCTTTGATCTGGTGCCTGAGAGAGACAAGCAGACAGACACTGGTGTGATGGGGAATGGTGAGCACCTGGGAACAGGGTCCTGGAGGACAGAGAAAGGAAGTCAGGGAAGGCTTCCAGGAGGAGGTGAAGCCAGCTGTGTCTTGGTTAAGTGACAGTCACACTTCCTGTGTCTTCTCTGCTAAAAAAAGTAGTTTGAATTTTCTCAATAGGATCAAGTATCTCCAGAAAGCTGGGGTCATCTGATAGCCCCTCAACTAAGAGGGCAGACTTACATTTTATCCCTAATCGGAAGGAGGTCTCTGGGGAGTTAGGGGACACCTTGCAGCTGGTCTCTCTTCCGCTCCTTTTTCTGTAACAGACCTTCCCCTTCTGCTACCTCTGGCCTGGTTCAGGTCCCTCAGAGGCCAAGACAAGCCCATCTGCTGCAGGTCCTCTCCTGAGCCCTGAGGCCCCAGCTGGCCTGCCCCCTCACCCCAGCCTCCTGATGCTGGGCCAGCCACACCTGTCACTTGATCCTGCCACCTCAGCTAAGCCAGCAGAGTCTCAGAGTCTGCCCTCCTCATCACCCCCATGGCCCACCAGCCAAGGCAAGAGGAAACAGCTCACCAGCTGCTGAGGACTTGTTCTCTGCCTACAGTTCACCTTTCAAAGCAAGCAAATTCCCCCAGGCCCAACTCAGACTCCTGCAAACCAATAAAGGGGGCCCCATGGGGTTCTCTCAAGGTGCCCGCGACGTGGGGGGCTGCAGGGCTGCACAGCTCAGTATCTCTGCTCCACACACAGCAGAGTGGTGGGCGGTGGGATAAACATCTGGGGCCATGTCTGATATACAATCCGGTAACACCCTATTCGGGGAGCAGGAAGGCTGCAAAGCAGGTTCTGTGACTTCAGGTGTCCAGTATGAAGGGTGGGGTGCAATAAAGCAGCCCAGAGGTTGTCTGGTGCATGTGGGCAGCAAGGAAGGCAGCTCTGCCTAGCATGGAGTTCTGCTGTGGCCACCTTGGTGGGGCGGAAGTGGCCTCTGTCCCTCCAGCCAGGGCCTGACTCAGGCTGGAGCCAAAGCAGGGCCTGCTGCCAGGGTCTCTCTTTGGAGTGAGAGGCGTTTGGCAGATGCAGCCCTCCGCAACCACATCAGAACTCCGTAGCGTGTGGACGCCAGGGTGTTTATCTAAGGGGTGGGTAGTGTGAGAGACACAGGACAGCCTGGCTCCAAGAGCCAGCCCGGCCGGAGAAAGCTGATTCGGCAGCTCACCGGGGCAGGGCTCAGCAGCAATAAACACTAGGACGGAGGAGGGCGGGCCGGGTCCAGCTGGGGCACATCTGTAACCCTAGAGGCTGACTCCTCGCCCTTCCGACAGGGTGGAGTTGCCAGAAACTTCAGCTTTGGGGCTTCATCCTCCAACCCGCCTCCTGTGACCCTTTCCAGCTCAAGGAGTACAGCGAGCATCACTGCAAGAGGCTGGGGGACCGCTTCCCTGATGCAGCGATTCTTCAAAAGACACAAGGCTGCCCTGACTCTCAAGACCATGAGAAATCAAGAGACACTTCAAGATGCATTTGTGCATTCTACTTCCTGAAGGCTTACTAAATGCCAGGCGCTGTGTTTGGTGCTGGGGACACACCAGGAATCAAGAGACAGAGAGAAAACATGATGATAGTGCGGCACATCTTAAAGCTCTTGTCCCTTACACCCTAACATGTGCTCCCCACTCGCCCCCATTCCTTCTGTGGGACTGATAGGCACCTGCTCAGAGAGGCACACAAGCAAACTCCCTTGCTCTGCATCTCAACAACACTCCTGGCTCCTGTTACCGTCTCAGAGCTCCATGCGGTCTTACATGTCTACTCTTTTGTATACATTAATCTGATTGCCCAACAGGAAGTATCCAAACGCCAAATAGTTTCTTTTCAAAACAGCTTTCTTGAAACATAATTCGCATACTTGACTCATTTCAATGTACAATTCAACGGTCTTCAGGATATTTTATGATGAAACCTCATGCCATTTAGCAGTAACTCCTTTTCCCCCATCCCTCTCCACTGTCCCACCAACCAACCAACCAACCAACCAACCAACCAACCAATCAACCAACCAACCAACCAACCAATCAACCAACCAACCAACCAAACAACCAAACAACCAACCAACCAAACAACCAACCAACCAACCAACCAAATGCACTGCCTTTGAATTGATCCTGACTCAAAAGTGACCATCTGTTAGGTTTCCAAGGCTGTATGAGACTGCTCCTCTTTCTCCTAGGAACCAGGTGGTAGGTCTGAACCGTTCACCTTTTGGTTAAGGCACCTAACATGTCAAATATGACACCTCCAGGCTCCTTCCCCATAACCCTGGATAACCATTATTTACCTTCTCTTTGTGTCGATTTGCTTCTCTGGACCTTTCCAACAAATGGCATCGTATAATATGTGGTCTTTTGTCACCAGCTTCGTTCCCTTTCAGAATGTACCCATTCTGTAGGGTGTCTAACAAGCTCAGGGAGTGCTGAGTGCTGGAGTTAGAGCATTTGGTTACTGACTGAAAGGCTGACAGTGTAAAGTCACCCGTCGCTCCACGGGAGAAAGATATGCAGTCTGCTTCCAAGACGATTACAAACAGCCTTAGAAAGCCCATGCGGCAAT